AGGAGAAGGACATAGGATACTTTTTATCCCGTTCGACCGCGTTCCAATTTTTATGATATTTTAATTTTTGGATTTCTCTTAGTCCGGAATAGGTAAGTATTAAAACATATAATTAAAATGTGAGAAAGAAAGATTTTTTCTTTTTATATCTATTTAAAACGTACCTAGCGACGAACCCGAGCGAAGCGAGGGTGAGCCGCTAGTCTTTTTAATAAAACTCTGACACTGATTCAATGACATATGTACCATTTTTTTTTTTTATACTTGGGAAATCCTATTACGGATACCACCCGACTTTCCCCGGGGTGGTTATGTGGAGACTCTCCGGCTAATGAGACCGGCATACCCACTAAAACCCAACTTTCCCCCTCTGCCGCCATGTGGGGCGCCACGGGATCGCTCTCGCATACAACCGCGACGCCCCGACGGTTGGCCGAAGCCACCAACCATGAGGCCGCCCCAAGCGGGACAACCCCATTATGGGAAGACTCTCAACCCAAGAAGTGAGGCCGCTCCTAAGTCCACTCTGCTGATCAGAGAAGTACCCGGAGCAGCCCCACACCACACAAACACCGCCCACCGAAGTGGGCCACCTCCAATCGGCTGCAGAGGACAGGGAGAGCGGCAACGAAACACCGACACTCCTCTTCCCCTGCAGCCCCACCGCGTCCGCCATCAAACGGTGGCGGCCCCGTCTAGGCCGCGGAAGGTAGGGAGAACGGCGCACCGAAATACCGGCACTCCTCTCCCGCCGCGGCCTACCCCTCCGCCGAATGCGGGCCTGCGACCACAGTCCCGCAATCGGCACCCATCATCCGGTTGTGGGACCAAGCGGTCCCACCACCGGTGGCCGCAACGTCTTCGGCTCGAGGCCTAGACGAGCAACCCATCCAAGCCATTTGGTCCGCGCCGGATTTCTCCGGTACCACCCGCCCCTCTAAGCGGGTGGCATGCCCCTATCCGCCACCTGGGGACGCGCCCGGTAGGAGTTGACTTCTCTCCCGGGATATGTACCATGTCCCAACATATTTATTATTTATTTATAAACATTATTTATAAGCCTTAAAAAGCTATAAAATAAAATGAAAATCATTTATATTGTTTGTTCAACCATTCTCAGCGGATGTTTGCGTAAAAAATAAAAATATTAAAAATAATTTTTAATATTTTTATTCTTGGCTTTCATTTCATATAAAACGTTTTTTTTTTCATTACTTATGGAAAATAATAATAGCTGTCGTGATTATATCAGTGACATGAATTATTAACTAAGTAATTTATACATAATATGTATAATAGAATTCTGAGTTGAATCTGTATATTAAATATTTTTTGGAAAATCTTGTTGAAATAGTCATTATTATCGATACAGAGGCCGAATCTATACTTTTAGAATTTTTGTTTGTCTATATGTGTTTTTGTCTGTTGTCATCACGAAAAGTCACGACTCACCACTGGACGGAATTAGATGAAATTTTGTATGTTGATAGCTGGTTGTCCAGGTCAACATTTAGCATACTTTTTACTGCGGAAAAATATGATATTTCTGAGAAATCTAGGTATACCAACCGTTAAAAAAATAAAATTAAAGAGAGTATATATATATATTTTATACCACGTCGGTGGCAATCAGGCATGCGGCCCGCCTGATGGTAAGCGGTTACCGCAGCCTATGGACGCCTGCAACACCAGGGGCATCACATGCGCGTTGCCGACCCTTTAATAACCTATTTACTCCCCTTTTGAAGGACCCCATACTGTAGCCCTCTGGGAAAACCTCGGCAGGGAGTTCATTCCACAGCGAAATGGTCCGTGTGAGGAAATTCCTCTGAAACCGAACTGTACGGGACCATTTGGGCTGCAATGTGTGAGCATGAACTCGCTGTTGATGGCGAGCGGTGCTATGATAGAAAGTGGCCATGGGCATCATTTCGAAGAATTCTTCGGAACACAACCCATTGTACAAACGATAGAGCACACATAGGGACGCGAAATCTCTTCTTAGACTTAGGGGCTCTATATCGCTTGTGAGTATTGGATCGTCGACAATTCTCACAGCTCTCCTTTTGAACCGAGTCAAAAGGCCCAAGCTGGTTTCCCTGTGCTCCCGCCCAGAGATGTGAGCAGTACTCCACGAGGGGACGGATTTGCGATTTATATAAAAGCAGTCTTTGTCCCGGCGTGAAATACGGTTTCGCTCTATTAAGCACACCTAGCTTTTTGGATGCCAACTTGACCTTGTCTTCCAGGTGACTTCGGAACTGGACGTCGCTGGATATGTCGACACCAAGAATACCAATACTGTTGGAGATAGTTAGGGGTGTGTCCTGAAATTGAGGGGCCACAGTAAATGGGGTTTTCTTAGCGGTGAACGCACAAACTTGGGTCTTGGAGGGGGGGGGGGACTATTTAGTCCAATTTAACCCCTCGAAAACAAACCTGTAAAGGATTGGTTTTCTTAAAGAACTATCTTGTGCTAGTCTATTCATAAACTACATAGCACTTGAAACTTTAAAGATTTAAAAGACGTAAAATTAAATTAATATTAAATATAACTAAAGGACCGAAGGTAAGTTTAAATGGAGATTGAACATTTATATTTTTTAGATGGGGTTCCGTAGAACAAAACATTATTTTCTTTTAATATTTGGGACATTAACGCATAGCACCATCTAATTTCATTGCAAGCTACGAAGCTTGTATTATGGATACCAGATAGTTAATACATTACACATATATAACTTTAAATACACACATATTATAAATATAAACACCTATGACAGACACACACACACATGACATAATACAAATGAATGCCCCCGCGGGACTCGAACCCGCCACCGCTGGCAAAGCGAGTAGGGTCAATACAAAGAGAGCCAAACGTGTCGTCGGTTTTAACCAAGAATTTGTAACCTTAAAAGTAAAGTAAAATATTTACACATCTACGATTATCATTTGATTCCGTATTTACATAAATACAAATAAATAAACATAAAATAAAAAAGGGAAATATGTTTGTGAGTGCAGTTCAAAAATAATATGTATACTGTATGTACTCTTTAAATGTAGTGGTAGCCCAGTGGTAACGCGCTCGCTTGGGAAACCAAATCCCGGGTCTCGCACCTCTGATATTTTCATGTGCGAATCATTTCCAACATGATTATCACTTGTCTTAATGGTGAAGGAAAACGTCGTGAGGAAACCTGCATGTCTGAGAGAACCTAGCAAGTTTTCAAAAGACATGTGAAGTCCGCCAACCCGCGCTTGGCCAGCGTGGTGGACTACGGCCTGATTCCCCTCGTACTTAAGGGAGGCCCGTGCCCAGCAGTGGGACGTTAAAAAGGGGTGAATACATACATGTACTTACTACTTACTCTTGTCGAAATTAAACGTTAGCGTAAATTAATTTAAGCAAACGATTTGTCACCATCTTGAACAAGGTCAACAGATGCTAAAGATATTGAATTTTTCCACTCTTACTGACTTATTTTACTGCTGTGGGTTAAGAAAAGAAATTTTCAACACTATTTTTATATTAACTTAAGATAATAAAAATAGGTTTCTGATATTTATCCAAAATCTTTGTACATTCACGGGTAAATAATTTCAAACATGACCCATTTTTATTTAGAGCAACATTGTTTAGACCTTCTATATCTATAATAGAATAAAAGACTAAGTCGCATCTGTACATTAAATATTATTTGAAAATCTTATTGAAATAGTCATTATTATCGATGCAGAGGCCGAATCTATAATTTAAAATTTAAACCATATTACTTAGTAACAAGTGAAAATTATAAAATCGTGTTTAAAATACCAAATTTGTCTTTGTTTCAACACTACTTAAAAATACAAAAGAATCTTGTTTATTAATAAAGCTCGGTATGGGAAAAGCTCATTTCATGGAATATTTTATGCAAATACTTTGTCCCTTATTGGAGTGGGGTCGAGTTTTTCGGCCTTTCATAACCTCTCTGAGTTATAATTTTAAGAGGTTGTTCTCTTTTCACACGATTTTATTTCTAATTTTGTAGCGTTTAATTCTAACATTCTATTTATAATGATACGTAAAGAATAAATAGTAAAAGATCGAAACTTAAATTAGTCTTATCGATTTTTTTAAATGAAATCAGTATTTTACTAAATTAAATAAAATGCACAACTTATGATATGTAGTTGTATAGTACATAGATATTTTTTAATAAGAACAGATTTAAAATTATGTTTTAAAACTATCGGGACAGACTCTCCCGTGACCATGATTGCTATAAAGCGTTCGAAACGTCGGGAACCAAAAATCAAAATAAATTCGCGGAGAAAATCCGAAAAGATAGTTTTATTTAAAATGTCAAATATTCGCGTAAATCTAAGAAAGTATTATGAAAAACAGATTTTTTGGGAGTTACCATATCGATGGTTTTAAAAAAAATATATTTTTAATCTACGCCTTTCCTATTACCTAATACCTATTACTTAGCTTCTTCAAGGGCTGTCGGGTTCAAAGGAGTTAGTTGGTAAATTACCAATAGTATCATTGAATAAGTTTAATATTAACATTAAAAAAGTGAATAAGGGAAAGTAGGGTTAGTAAGCAGGTGGAAATATTTAATTTCTTTTTCAATTATCTTTTCTAGTTCCTGCTAGACTCGAGTAATAAATACGCAACATTACAGCCAAGGCGTAAGCTATCTTCATTCTAATTTCACTTAAATACATTGAACTTTTACGACGTGAAGAAATAAGACGCACTCGCTCCCAATATTCTATTTTATTGCTCCACTGCTGGGCTCAGGCTTCCCTTCAAAACGAAAAGGATCAGGTTCTAGTCCAAGTGCGAGTTGGGGGAATCTACATATCTTTCAAAAGCAATTTAATAAAACTGTACAACAAACATTAGTATGGAAGAAATATGTAGTTACATTCGATTTTTAATAATTTATTGTAGCCTATTTCGTATAATATAGTCAGCAAGTATTTTATAGTGTAATAAAACTTACAAAAGTAGTATTAGGCATTAATGTCTTCGTTGTTTGGTTCGCCGCGAACATCAGGCTGATCCCACCCCACGAGTCTCTGTACACGAATTCGTCACCTGTAATAAAAGAAATAACTTAGAATAAACAGGAGAAGAAATTATTTTATTATGAACTAGCGACTACCCTCGTTTCGCTCGAATTCCTAGGTACGTTTTAACGGTTAGTATAAATTCAAATCTACGAATTTCTCGACTTTTCTGTACTGTAATATGCATGTATTATACATATAAACCTTTCTCTTGCATCATTCTATCTATTGCTGAAACCTGCATTAAAATCCGTTAAGTAGCTTACAAGATATAAGCGAGCAGACAGCGGAAGTGACTTCATTTTATACTATGTAAAGAAATATTCAAAAATAAATTGTGTTTTTTTTTTAAATTAATTATTTTTATTATCTGTTACGGTATCCGAAATAAAATTTCGAACGAAAATTTCATCCATCCTTACAACGTATAGCTTTTTTACATTACGAAACTGTGGTTCAAAAAACAGTGATATTAATATTTTTAGTTACGTCACATATCTCTTACTGCAAATATTAATCTAACTAGTAGAACCCGCAGCTTCGCTCGCGTTAAAACTACAAAAATAAACTATAAAAAGGTAGGTTTCATACAAACTTTCATCCCCCTATGGGATGAATTTCGAAAAGTGCTAAAACACGTATTTATTTAATAATATTGTAGAGCAATAATACCAAGTTTCAAGTAATTCTGATCATAAATATTTTTTTGGGTTGTATTATAACGTGTTTTCCCGTGGGGATAAGATAATCTCCCGTAGTGAAAAGTAGCTTTATGTCACTCTCCAGCCCTCCAATTATCTCCACACAAGAAATCACGCCAATTTCTCACTCTGTTTCGACGTGAAAGAAAGACAAACAAACAATCAAATAAGCAAACAAACAAACAAACAAACAAACAAACAAACACACTTTCACATTTATAATATTAAGTATGGATATGACGCTATGTTTGAAAATTAGTTTCATGGTCATTGAAACTACAATTATTATATGAAACGAATTTCATAACCTATAAAATTAGTTTCATAATGTACATTCGACAGACGTACAGAGAGTTCAGAGAGCTTTACTAGTTAGGCCACTTTTTAGCCTTTGAAGTGCTGACCCATAAAAACCCTAGTCCTTTGAATATTTGAGTCTTGTATGGTTCACTTCATTTTTTTCACTGGGGAGTAAATGTTATCATTCAATCTAATAGAATTCGTGTCTATGTTCTTAAATATATTTTTTTATACTCTGTACGAGATGCCGCCATAAAATATTCAAAGCAATAATCGGAAAAGCTTCTAGCTGACATAACTTAATAAGATTTTTCTTTTCTCTAGATATCATAAAACGAGACGACATTTTGACGAGACAACATCAAAACAAAGACAATTTTTTCTTAAATATTACATAAGTTGAGGCGCTATGAAGTAGGTACGTTTTACAAAATTAATATAATTTATAACGTTTTACAACTTAAAGTACTATCAAGTTTTAAATAACATTACAAAAGTTGGAGAGATTTGACCTAATATTAGTATCTTAAAGCTGAAAGCGTATGTGAGCCTTCATTCTTATTCTTGTTAGTTACTTAGAAAAGCAAAATGGAGTAAGCTTATCGATGATTCTTGTGTGGTCTAATCTTTGATTTTATAAGTAGTCAATATAGATAAAAACTCAATCATATATTATTGATTAGACTTCCGTAGATAGAATAGTAGCCGTTGTGGCATAGAAGAGTGTTCCAAGTAGTCACAATTGGACCATATTTATGATTATTGAAATTTTGAGAAAAACATGTATGTGTGTATGTCATTGAACTCGTCCTAAGCGATTGGACCGATTTTAATAATTTGGGTATGTGTTTTAGGGTACCTGAGTAATTTAAATTCACAACTGGATCCAGTAGGTGGCGCTGCAGTCAGGTTTTTAGATTTTTTAATTTTATTGCTAGCGAACCCGAGAGATATTGTCCTGTCCAAACATATAAATAATTCTTCTGTACGTATATATATATATATAGTATATACTCCTAAACAGTTGGGCCAATTTTGATGTTTTTTTTTAAATCGTTATTATTCTGTACACTTTTTATATACTACATAAGCAAATAATTTAATTACTTGTTTCCCAGTAAAACTTATCGTTTTTAAGGCACCGCACGGTATGTTTTAATTTTATCATCTCTATCCGTGTCTGTCTGTTTTCCGTGTTACAGTCATTTTACTTTATGAGCTTTATTGATAATTATTCGTAGCATGGTGTGAATAGCTAGAAAATTTTGAAGACAAATAAAAAAAATAAGAAATTCTTGTCTCATTTAAAACCAGCATTGCTTAAAAGTTCGTATTCAACTCTTATAATACGATTTAAAACTGCTTGATTAATTAAATAAATTTCAATTTCATTTAGATACGTTTATGTCTTTAAAGTTCATTTTTGTTAAATAAATGTGGAATGACCGGCAAAAATCTTAGATATAAAAATTTGCAAAAGCAAATTCGATATATTTTATAACCCTCTTTAATATGATTGCCTTCTTTTCTCTAAACGAAAATCGTAGAATTTGTTCGTTTCAATATTGGCGTTAGTAATACAATGAGACTGTTTGGGCAAAATCAAAAGATACAATAATCGAGGCCTCGTAGACGGAGCGCCATTACACCGATGGATAAAAAGGTAGAAGATATAACTAATACGAATTTTTACCTGAGATTTTGCCTTGTTATAGAACTTTTCACCCGAGGGTCTATGTATTTTTTTTTTAATAGTAGTACAATTTTTTTATTTTTATAACTTTTTTTTTAGCACACGTATTATTAAAAAAATCCATATTGTTAGAATTTCAAAATATTTTTTTTTGTGAAATTTTAAAAATTAGGATTTCTTTATACATTAAAAATATATATGTAAAAGCATGTTTTTAAATAATTTGTATTCTAAAGTAACTCTTTTAAATGTACACCGACTACATGTAAGTGATATTTCTTCTTACATAGCTGTAAATTCACGATTCATACATGTATACTCTCCAATAACTTAATATATATTTTTACAAAAGTTTTTTAGTAATTTCTCCAAATTATAATTTGAAATACTATATGAATTTCTAACGTTTTGAAATCTTAAATTACGTTCAAATCTACACATAAAGGTAAATTTCTTAAAGCAAGCCTTCATGTTTCACTATTAAATGTCTCAAGAGCCTGCTGGTATATAGGTCATTACGCTACAGTGTGAGTTGCGGCTTTATATAAGCTGCATAATTATACTAATGGAACGGTGACACTACATTTTGTAGCTAGCGAAGTCAAACATACATAGGATATAAGAGCAATATACACTGGTTGTTGCCTTTATCTGTTTATTTACTCAATTCATTTCTATATATAATTCTTGAATGTGAAATATATGTCTAACTAGCGATTTACCCTCGCTTGGCTCGGGCGCATCCCTAGGAGTGTTTAATTTAAAAAAAAAAAGTAGTTAAGTTACTCCTTATAACATCAGCTATCTGCCAGTGAACGTCCCAACAAAATTGGTCCTGTCGTTTCGGAGATTAGCCCGAACAAACAATAGATAGCCAGACAGACATTTTTTTTTAATTGTGTTTTTCTCAAAAGTACCTTCTATAATTTCATTTGCATTTAGTAAAAGCCGTTATTTTGACATTACAAACAGGCACTTCAATTTTATTTATCTGTATAGATTAGTTCGATGTCAAACAAAGCTAAATACTTTTTATAATTAACTGCATATTAGGTAACTATCATTTATTGTTTGAGCTATATAATTTATAATATTTAGCGATTAATCGATTAGTTTTTTTTTTGTTTTTTAGTAAAACTAAGCATTATAAGCTAAAAAAAGTAAAATTCTTTAAGTCATGTTGATTTAAACCAGTTTTGATTCTTTTTTAACCGACTTTCAAAAAGGAGGAAGTTCTCAGTTCGTCGGAATCTTTTTTTTATGTATGTTCACCGTTAATTCAAAGACGCCTGAACCGATTTGTTTTTTTTTGTTTTATAGGGTAAACATCCCAGGCGGTTTTTTAAATAATCAACAATATATTTTTTTTAATATTTTTTTTAATCGAATATGCTATTAAGAAATTTTTTCTTACAAATTACCGGTTTATTACGTCTACACTAAAAATGGAAAAATAAAAACTTAAAAAAAAACCGACTTCCAGGCACTAAAATGTATAAAATAACTAAAGGGGGGTTTTCATTTAGAATAGAGAGGTAAGGTTTACGAGATACAGTTGCCGGGAAGAATAAGTAAAATATCGATCGACCGCTTAAAACCAGCTTACTATATTAGCGATAGCGATGTAGCGCCAAACGCAAACACTGATAGTCCAAATCGCGAGTTACCCAAAACGTACACCACACGAAGTGGAAGAACATGTAAGCAATCGGTACGTTTCCGAGACATATAGGTAACGTGTCATCACTTTTAACTAGTGTATGATACTGGTTTGTTTTATGTGAATAATTTTAAGTAGAGTTTTATGTTTTACACCCCCATAGTTATATACATTTTATACAGTGTACACTTTTACATGATATTATATTATTCTAAGTTTTACTTTTATTGTTTACATGCATATACATTATACATTCATTTTAATATGTAAGAAAAAATTTTATTTGTGTTGTCATGACAGACAATTTTATATAGATATTTACATTTATTTGCAGTAAGCAAAATTGTAAATCATCTAGGTCAAAGAAATAGAATATAAGCTGTTGTTTGTAAGTTATTCTTTCTTTAATCACTGATTATTCGATAAATTCAATCACGGACGTATTTTCTATATATTTTAGATATCATATAGTAAAATGGGCAAAGGTATCAGTAAAGAGACCAAGCAGGACAACATAATTGTTGCTCATAGTGGAAGTAACTCTATCCAGATGGAGCAAAAATTGGAGACCAAAAGACTCATTACTTTGGTGATGGTAGTGCTGCTAGCTGTTATAATCGCATATTGTATATACAAAAAGCTATATACGGGCATCAAAGCTTGGACTCGCAGAC